TAAGCCTTATTTATTCATTGTCAGGGTATCACAGACATAACTTTGTTTCTAGAATATGCTGTTCCTTTTGCTGTCAGTACGGGCATCATTGGATGTTTGGATAATCCAAAGGTGAAGAGAAAATGTTGCTCCATTGGAGGGAGGCAGGGGCTTTATCAAATGGAATTATCATATAAGGAAGTACTGAGATTTGTGGTTTAGATGACATCTTTAGGGCAGATAATTTTAAAAATACTTGCTTTATTTATTTGAAAGACAGGGTGATAGAGAAAGGAGGACATGCAGATGCGTGCACACACACACACACACAAACACATACACACACCATTTTCCATCCACAGATTCACTCCCCAAATGGCTACAATGTCCAGGGTTGTGGCAGGCTGAAGTCAGGAACATGGAACACCATCTGGGTCTCCCACATGGGTGGAAGGGGCCCAAGTATTTGAGCCATCTTTTGCTGCTTTTCCAGGAATACTAGCAGGATCAGAAGTGGAGCAGCCAGGACTTGAAATAGCTCTGATATGGGATGCTGGTGTTGCAGGTGGCAGCTTAACCCTCTAGGCCAGAGCACCAAAATCTTTGAACATCTGATATTCCAAATGACAAAATGATATTCCAAAATTATATTCCAAAATGACAAAAAAATCACATTGTGTCCATGTATCTCTTGTACATTTCTTCCATAGTCAAAGAATTTTTAGCTTAGCATGTGGCTACAAGGATTAATGACTGTAATTTCTACTCTACCCTGCAACTTTGCAGGGTCATGTTGTTGATTTGCAATCATCCACTTAGAAGGAAGTGGCATGACTCCCCTTCTCTATTCCCTATCCCTGCTATTTGTGATGGAAATGTAATAAGATACTATTGCAAGAAAAACTTCAAATAAAATTTAACAGAATTTATTTGATCAAAAAATGATTCATTAATTCCGTGGAACTCAGGACCAGAAAAGTTTCAAAGAACTACACTTTGGCAGTGTGAGCAGTGGTCTTTTGTCGGTTGAATGTAGAAGCGAAGTTACGAAATCACTTGACTAGTTATGGCTAAGCATTTGCCTTGTTTGGTTGGAAAGTCTCTCATTAGAGGTTAGTTGGCAGTTTCTGATTGGTTTAGCTTAAGTTTCATTTTACTGTTTACATTGGGCTTCAGTTTGCTTACATAGAAACCCAAGGCACTGGAGCCATCTCAACCTAAAGGCTCACAATTAAAATTTATTTTAACAACACCTTGCACCATTCAGATTAGGGAAGCACTAAAAAAATGTTGATGTTACAAGAGAGGAGTTTGGATCTCCAAATATCTTCCAAGAAAAAGCCACCATACTGGGCTAAGACTTTTGCATGAAAGAGAAATACATTCCTATGTAGTTTAAGCCACAGCTCTATTAACAACAGCTGGACCCATAGTCTAACTAATCTATCCTTGTCAGGACAGACTCAATGGAAGAAAATGAAGAATGCCTGAGGGAGACTTTAGAGAAGGCTAGACATTTAACTATGGGCAGTATTCACAGGGTTGACATAACTATGGTATAGGTTTCAGAAAAATTACAGAGTGTACATTTACATAGATGCATTCTAATACCACTTTATGAATATTGGTTAGTGGGTCATTCTAAATAAAATGTAGAAATACATTCTTTCAGTATTGCTTTTTTACATTCAGTGGAGCTGAATGTACTGGAATCCTTTCCATGAGAGCTATAATAAATTTGTAGTATGGAATCCCTGAACTGGGTTCAACATTAGTCTCCATCACACTTCTACAGCAGAAGGAAGAGTCACCTAAGGGGGAAAAAGTCCAATTAATAGATGTTATCTGAGTTTGAATTTACTTGTGTTGATCAAAAGGAAACTATTTTACTTGTAGAATTCAGAGTTTGATTTTACTGGAAAGCATATAAAATCAGTTTTTATTCCTTACCACTTCTTGATCACACCTGGAACCTTTCATATAAATGTTCCATAACATACTAAAGTATTTATGGATAAAATGGTACATAAATTCTGAAATGTATTTTCATATAATCTGGGGTAGGGGATTGAGTACAGTTATATGAGAAAGAATATTGAAGGGGACAGGCATTTGGTACAACAGTTAGGATGCCACTTGGAAAGCCCGCATCTTGGAGTGCTTGAGTTTGAGTCCTGGCTCTACTTTCAATTCCAGTTTCCCACTAATGGACACTTTGGGAGGCAGCAGTGACAGCTTAAGCACTTGGGTCCTGACACTCATATGGGAGACCCTAGGTGAGTTCCTGGCTCCTGGTTTAAACCTGGCAGATTTCAGGCTATTCAGGCATTTGGGAAGTGAACCAGTGGATTGAAGATCTCTCTGTCTCTGTTGATCTGTCTCTGCCTTTCCAATAAGTAAAAAAGTAACTAAATATAAAATTTTTTGTAGGATGACAGTGCTGTGGAATTAGTGGGCTAAGTCACCGCCTGTGGGTCCCAGCATCCCATATGGGTGCCTGTTCATGTTCCGGCTGCTCCTCCTGTGATCCAGCTCTCTGCTATGGCCTGGGAAAGCAGTAGAGGATGGCCCAAGTGCTTGGACCACTGCACCCGATATGGGAGACCCGGAAGAAGCTCCTAGCTTCTGGCTTCAGATCGGACTAGCTCCAGCCATTGCAGCCATTTGGGGAGTAAACCAGTACATGGAAGACCTTTCTCTCTATCTCTCCCTCTCTCTGTAACTTTACCTCTCAAATAAATGAAACCTTTAAATTTTTTTTGTAAAGATTGAACTGTGGTAATATCAATTGAAGCTGAATGATTGGGATTCATTTTATTAATTGCTCTTCTTTTGAATATGTTTTAACTTCCCCATAGAAAAATACTATGTATCTTAGAAAAATCACACACACACACAAACTTTATTTTTTCCTCTTATTAAGTTAGTATTTCTTTTTGTTACTATTTATTTTATTTGTTTGAAAGAGTTACAGAGAGAGGGAGGGAGAGACAGAGAAAGGTCTTCCATCTGTTGGCTCCCTCCAAAAAATGGTTGCAATAGCCAAGGCTGGGCCAGGCTGAAGCCAGGAACCAGGAGCTTCATTCAGGTCTTCCACAAGGGTGCAGGGGCCCAAGGATTTTGGCAATCTTCTGCTGCTTTCCCAGGTGTATTAGCGTGGAGCTGGATCAGAAGTGGAGTGGCCAGGACTTGAACCAATGCCTATATGGGATGCAACTATTCCATCCCACTATTCATAACACATCCCACTATTGCACGATACCTGTCCCCATGTTGGCATTTCTAAAACTATGAATACTACCAGGTTTTTTTTACAAGTTTCGCGTATTCAACATTGTTTAAAAAAAAATCTCATCATTAGAGGCCGGAATCAAACTTGAGAAGTTCCTGCAAAAAGAAGAAGTAGGGGAAGGAGAAGAATACAATGATACTTGGGCAAGGGAGGCAGGCTTAATGATAGCTCTTCCCATGGAACAATTGACATATTTTTCTTTGAAAAGTCACAGGAAGGCAAATGCAAGATGTTGACTAGAGGCTATACCTATAGATGAGTCAGGAGATGTGCAGTAGGAAGTAGAATGAAGAAAACTTAATCAAGAAATAATAAAAGAAGAAAGATGGGTTGGCAAAATCAAGTAGTGGTTAAGACTGAAGAAATTCTGCTAAGGAAATGGTCTGTGAAGATTAAGAGAGTTACAGCTCATTCTCCTCCACTCCCACGTACACCACATCCTTTAATAACAGAGGAATAAGTAAGTTGAAACAGTTGCATTTACATGACAGTTTCTCTTTCCCTACCCTACCACCCTCACCACTCTTGCAGAATATGGTAATGAAAACTGTGAAGTTACTTCTGGGCTGGCTGCACAAGTGTGTGGATCAGGTCTCTATATGATTTGAGAGTATTTGAAACATGAGGCAGGTCCTATATTTATAACACCATGATTTTTTTCAGGGCTACCAAAACACAAGAAATTTCTGTTTAAGAAATCCTTTACCACTTCCTAGGAGTCTCTTTGACAACCAACATGTGTTACTTGTAATTAAGTTGGTTTTTACAGAGTATACCTGGGCCTTCCAAAGCGTTCAGAATACAAGTGGGATGAGGAGAGAGTTGTTAAAGTGGAAGAAAGCTGGAATGAGGGGAGAGCCACAATTTTACTGATTTCACATTCTTTTTTTATTTTTATTTTTTATTTTATTTTTTTTTATTTTTGACAGGCAGAGTGGACAGTGAGAGAGAGAGAGAGACAGAGAGAAAGGTCTTCCCTCTGCCATTGGTTCACCCTCCAATGGCTGCCGCGGCCCGTGCGCTGCGGCCAGTGCATCGCGCTGATCCGAAGCCAGGAGCCAGGTGCTTCTCCTGGTCTCCCATGCGGGTGCAGGGCCCAAGGACCTGGGCCATCCTCCACTGCCTTCCTGGGCCACAGCAGAGAGCTGGACTGGAAGAGGAGCAATCGGGACAGAATCCGGTGCCCCGACCAGAACCAGAACGCGGTGTGCCGGCGCCGCAAGGTGGAGGATTAGCCTAGTGAGCCATGGCGCTGGCCTGATTTCACATTCTTGGTTGTTTATGTAAATGTTTGAGATGGGCAGAGGGGGAGAGTGGAGAATGAGTTTTCTCCATGGCCTTTATACAAGAAAAAAATCAGACTGCTAGACCTGAACAATCTTTACCACTATGAATATAACCTCTATGCCCCCTTTTACAGACACAGGGCTTTAAGTAGTTGAAACACATTCAGTCCACAGTAAGAAGGTTGAGAATAACCCTGACAGAGTGAGGATAGTAAAAGGTTTATCTAAGAAATAGTGGGGTGTAGGGTGTGGTAGGGTGAAAGCAGTGGCTCATCTTTTATTTTGAGACTATATTGCACCCTTCCAAGGGAAAGAATGGGTGAATAGAGTCTCAGATTTTATTCATGGGTGTGAGAATACTATCAAAAGTATTGAAGTCTATCTATTTACTGAAAGAAGTAAGAACGCATTGATTTTTGGAGGCAGAAAATTTCTGTGTAATTATGGAAACAATCTTTATTATTAAAATGAATATCATAAATTATAGCTGTATATATATTCCAAGTGCAACATTTTCACAGTATCTGGGAGTAAAACAAAAAACTGACATAAAAATTCAGTTGTACAAGAGTTCCACTGATGTCCCCTTTCAGACCAAGTTAATTTGGTCTGTTATTCCTGGGGCAAATGGCTCCTCTTTGCAGAATTAGCAGTTCATAGAATTTGCTACTTAATTCAGTGACAATAAAAATAGCTAAACAGTTTGAATATAATGATGATAACAGTCATGGAATAAAATAACACAAAAATCATCTCATATTCAAAATCTCTGTCATTGGAATAATTATATGTATTTTGGGATCACAATTCAAGCAACTTTATATAGGCAACATGACATTATGTATCATGAATTGATTGAACTTTACCGTAGTTGAGATGCTTACTCTTTGTACTCCAATTTCATGGAACCCAGAATTATATAAATGAGAGGTCAGAAGAGAAGATTTTCCAAGGAAAGAAGACTTTTGGAGAGGAGATTACTCTCTGGACAGCAGCTGCAGCAGTACTTGTCTCATAGTTAAGGCTTTTCCTGGAAATCAAGCCCAACATTGGAAGGGAGAGAAGCAAAAGGCAAAAGAAATAAGACATGACCTGAAAGAATCTATAACTGCTTGTAGACATATTTCTTAAAATTTAGCATCTCCTTTATGGGGAGCAACATAGTTGGTCACTTATTACAGGTAATCTGAAAGGCACTACTGTTAGATTTACTTCCTTAAAAATAGGTCTCCATCTTAGTCTATCTGCTTCAGTGTCTACATCCTTTCCCATGAAAGTCTCCACTTTGATTTAATGCCTAGTCATGAGGCCTGGAATTCATACACTCCTGAGTGAATTAATAGCAAGCTAACATTACTCATTAACAACTTCAAGTCAATAAACTGATCATATTACTGCCTAAGAGAGCAAGAGTCAGGGCACATGACAAAACCCTGGTGTGGTCGAGAGGTGGACAAGGGTAAAGGAATCACTGAATACAAACCTAGATGGGCAGGCTTGGGGAGAAAGGAAGGAAACTGAACACTTGTCCTCTTTCTGAATGGTGTAGAAGGGCTGCTTAACAAATGAGCTCTAACCTCAGTCATTCTCCCAGGAAGGTCAATAATCCCTTGGAAGTACTTCCTCTCCCCTTGAGAAAAAACATACCTTTAATGTGAAACCAGTAGGTTAACAAAATTGAATCAATGGCCTCCCAAATTAATTCTAAGTGTAATCCATGCTAAAATAGAAAATAGTAAGTAAAGATAGTAGAGACAAGACTCTCTCATTACAAGTACCCACAGTTGTTTCACAATCCCCCAGAATTATTACTTGTATTCTCATTACAACACTAAATTACAGCCAAGCACAAATCACTTTAAAGCAAACAGACCAAACACGGTTATAGCTACCCTTTTGAAAACACAGTTTAACACTCATTTAACACATCAGAACATGTACTTTGCAAAGAATAATGAGAAAATAATATATGCACTGTTGCTAGCAGCACAAAGTCAGTTTTCTATTAGGGTATTATTTTAATAACAAAGTACAAGCAAAATCAATACTTATCCAGAGTAGATTTTAAAAAACATTCCATTAATCTTAGATATAAGAATTAACTTTAATTTCACCACTTTTCCCACCAAACATATTAGTATTATAGCTCAGGGCCTAAAACTAACCCTTTTTCTAAATATGACAAAACCCCTGGATGGTTTCTATATTCTTTCTGGGTAAAGAATAGAATGTGTCTTCATTACATGGCACACAGATTTTTTAAGTACAACATTTTTAAACTTAGAGCTTTTTGCTAAAACATTTTTCAAAGTATTTTAACACTTATGACTTCATGTTTAACAACTACTCATATCCTGGGTCTATTTCTTGTACAATAGTACCAAACACGTAGCAGGAATGACATTGTACAGAGTACCCAAGGTTGCCAGAAGTTATCTTCTTCACTTTTCTCAAAAGATTAGGGAATTACTTTCCCCAGTTACTGGGAGGTAAGCTGTGCAGGCTTCCAAATGGTATGGCTAGGGAAAATTTGGCTTAGAAAAATCAATTCAGACACTAGGGTCCACATCACTTATTGCCTATAAGCCCTACTCCGGTTTATGTAGGTCATTTGATAGTTGTCATCTACTCTTACATGAAAAAATACCGTGTGGTAAGAATTTTGAGAAGTGTACTGAATTTTGCTTCATTTTCTCACTCTGGCCAAAGCTTAGTAATTAATTAGTGCACTACTTCTTCCATAGGCTCAGAAAGTGCAGTAATCTGAGTTACCTCGATTTTACTTGAGAAGCATGATGGAAACTCCCTTTATTGAGAAAATCCATACATCTTTAGAAGCGATAGGAAATAAGTTAAGAGATCTAGAATTGTGATTGTCACTAATAGTGACAATCTGCTTTCTCCAGTGCTAGATGCCATCTAGATGACTTTGTATGAATTTTGGCAAACTACCTGCCCTCAGTAGATTCAATATGTCATCTTATACAGTCACAGAGGGTTACTATATGTGAATCTGAGTATCTAGTTTAAGCATATCAGAGGCTTGAGTTTAGATTTCCATTCAATGAATAATTGTGACAGATAATGTTTTGTATTGACACTGAATGAAGAAAATAGCTAGTTGAGATTTCAACCCTTGGAATATGGTCACACATAGGAGATACAAATTATCCATATTTATAGCATTTTGTTTATACAGAATGAAATGTTGTCTATCATCCTTAAAATACACCCCAAAATATGATATCAGAATGTAAACTGTGATTGCTGGTACAGATAGACAATGATATTTCTTCTGGATACAGAGATTCAGTAACAATTGTAACAAAACTAAGTGCTCATGGTGGTCCAAATTTAGTAATCTCTCTGTGACAGATTCATTACATAGCACACATTATATGCTGACTCTAGTTGAGAGCATATGTGTATAGGAAATCACTGAAATTTCATATTTTAAGACTTAAAGATTTGATAACAAATTACTACAAGAACATATCAATAGTAATGATGGTGGAGTATAATTCTCCAATAGGTCCTACAGGAAAATGTGAATCCCCCATGTACTTAAGACAGAAAATAACTGAGAACCAGTGAATGCTTCATGTGAGTACTTCCCTATGGCCTTGTGTTTTGCAAATGCATATTGGTGTACTTACATTCCAGGCCATATTCAGGATATTTTTCTATTTAGCATAATTCAGTTGTCATGGTAGAAATGGTATGGTTGCTAACAAAGGATTTTGTATGGAGTTGGATGCTATCATGCAAATCTTGTCTTGAAAGTCTTCTCCTGAACTCATTAGTGGTGAAGTAGTATATGACTGGGTCTAGGCAGGAATTCAAACTAGCGAGACACAGGGCCACAGAATGAAATATTAGAATCACCCTTCTGGCTATGCAGCTTTTAATTTCATTGGATTTTACCAAGAAATCTAAAGGAAAACTGAAGTGATAAGGTGCAAAACAAATTAGGAATACTCCTGCACAGGTTAGAATCATCTTCAAGGCTTTCTTTTTTTCTCCAAGGTCCTGGGTCACAGGATATTTATCTTGCAACGATAACACTGTCTTCCAGGTACAATATAGAACAATCAGAAGAGGAGTAACAAAACCAATCAACTCGCCGACAGTCATCATGGCAACAGACTGGGCTAGGTTGACATTCCTGGTAGGAAGATCCACAAAGCATTTGGTTCTGTTGCCTGGGGTGTCGTCACTGGTTCTAAGGAGTGGGAAAAGTAGACAGGCAAGGCAGATGATCAACCATCCAGCAATGCTGATGTATAAGTCATATTTTTGTTTGGAGTCATGAAAGCGAAAGGGGTACATGAGAAACCAAAATCGTCGTACACTGATGCAAACCAAGAAGTAGATGCTTGCATACATGTTAACATACTTCAGGTAGAAACAGAACATGCAGAGGCCAGGCCCAAATGGCCAGTCATGATTCAAGTAGTAAAAGATCCTCAATGGCAGGGAGAGAACTTGTAGTAGGTCAGCAATGGCTAAGTTTATCATAAATATCACGGCCCGTTTAGTCTCTTTCATATAACCATAAAATACCCACAGAGCTAATATGTTCCCTATAAGACCTGGCACAAGAATGACAGTGTATGTCACTGCATAGATAAAGTACCGAGAATCCGTATTGTCTTTATCTAACTCGCTACATGTGTCATTTGCAGGCATGATTCTTCCTTCAGAAATTGTTTTTTCTTAAAGACTGATCATCAATGGGTTGGAGAGACTATAAAATAATCTTTCTACTACATCTGTAAACCTCTCCATGGGACTTGGGGACTTTTGGAAGAACTATCTGCATATTTGCTTGGAATTTGCCTATAGTAACTACATGGGCATCTAGTGTGCAAGTACAGATGATGAGTAGTTAGAATTTCCCCCTCTTATTTACTCTATGATCATGCCTTCTGGGACATCAGTACAGTGGATTCTCTCCCATTTGGATCATGAATGTGCCATATAGCAGTTCCTCAAATTCCCATATGACGATAGCCATCTCTTTACAGGTGTTTGGCAGGCAGCTTTTCTTTTGTTGGCTCACACAGAAGAAAGGTTTGCTTTAATGCACAGAGGGTCCCACACTCTTCGGGGATGATTAACTCAGACAGATCAGTTTTCTGGGCCGTTTTCAGATATGTGTCGAAAGCTAAAAAGTGGGAAACAAAGGAAGAGCTGCAATTGAAGGAAAATAAACCAGTTATTGTTTGGCACATTTTTAAAAAATAAAAAGCTTAAGTGTAGAAAAATATGTTAGTTTGAATGGAAAGTTTTGACATGAGTGAGAATGACATGCACGATTTCAACAAGGCACTTTATAACAATACAGCTGTATAGCTATAAGGAACTAGAGATGTAATCTAGCTTCTTGTTACTCAAAATCCATGAATCCACATCACTTGGAAGCTTGCTAGAAATTCAGAAGGCTCTCAAGCCTTCTCCTGTACCTGCAGGATTATATGCTGTTTAACAATTACCCCCAAGTAATTCTTCTGCATGCTAATAATTGAGAAGATCTCCTCTAGACCATTGCTTCACAGACTTCACTGAGTCTCAGTATGGGGAAGTTATTTTTTTAATACTGCTTTCTGGGTATTTTCTCTAGAGATTCTGATTCAATGTGTTTGGGGTAGGGCCTCATTTTAGAATTTTTTAAAGCTTCCCATATGATTCTGATATAACCAGCCCAGCATTTGTCTTGGAACCATCATTTGGGGCCATTGATTTCATCCAAATCCTTCCCAGATGTCACAAAATAAGTGGGCAATAAGCCTCTCTTAAAATACTTCCATTTACATGGGTCATTTAGTCACCTCTTAATTATTCAGGACAACAGACCATAGCACCAGAACACAGAATCAAAATCCCCAGAAAGTTGACTCAGCTGGGTCCATGACCCTAGTTCTGAGGTAAACAAATTTTAGCTTAGGGACCTGGATAGTTGCCTCAAGGCTGCTGAAATCTAGGAGGACTTAACTGACTTTAAAGATATGTGGGGAGAATAAAAATGAAATGGGAATTATGAAACATCCTGCCTTGGATTATCAAATCCATGTGGTTTGAAGTGTGTTTGATTCGGCCCTTGAAAGAATTGTTGTTATTATTATTATTATTATTATTTTGCCTCAATTGCCTCGTAAGTAAAATAGGCCATTTGTTCACAGAGATGATGCTTGCTTTATTTAAAAGACTTGTTAAGTGTTGTGATTTATGCAATCAGTTTGAGAGGTTAATTAGGTGAAATTTCTCAGATCTGGAAGACATATAACGATGACATTATACAACACAGTGGATTACAACTATAAAGAATAACATCAATATTGAAAGAGTTTTTAAAATTGGTTTTTCAGCTCCCAACCTACAGTGTAGCTTTGAAATAGTTTCACAAGTAGTAATTTTGATTAGATTACAGACAAAATTAGATGGCAGACAACAGGTACATGAAAAGTGCTCGATATCACTGATGATCAGGGAAACATAAATGCAAACCGCAAGGAGATATTAGCATATCTGTTAGGATGGCTATTATCAAAAAGACTGAATAACAAGTGTTGGTGAGGATGTAGAGAAAAGGGAACCTCTGTACACTGTTGGTGGAAATGGGAATTGGCACAGTCACTGTGGCAAATATATAGGTTTCTCAAAAAGTTAAAAACAGACTACCATATGATCCAGCAACCCTACTTCTTATTATGTAGCCAAAGAAAATGAAATCAGTATCTTGGCCGGCGCCACGGCTCACTAGGCTAATCCTCCGCCTAGCGGCGCCGGCACACCGGGTTCTAGTCCCGGTTGGGGCGCCAGATTCTGTCCCGGTTGCCCCTCTTCCAGGCCAGCTCTCTGCTGTGGCCAGGGAGTGCAGTGGAGGATGGCCCAAGTCCTTGGGCCCTGCACCCCATGGGAGACCAGGAGAAGTACCTGGCTCCTGCCATCGGATCAGCGCCGTGTGCCGGCCGCAGCGTGCCGGCCGCGGCAGCCATTGGAGGGTGAACCAACGGCAAAGGAAGACCTTTCTCTCTGTCTCTCTCTCTCACTGTCCACTCTGCCTGTCAAAAAATAAAAAAAAATGAAATCAGTATCTCAAAGAAATATCTGTACCTCTATAGTCATTATAACATTATTCATAAAGGATATGAAAATAACCTATGTCCTATTGCTGGATGAAGAAAATGTATGTGTATATATATAATATATATATATATATATATAGTGGAATGTCATTCAATCACAAAAAAGAAAATACTCTCATCTGAAACAACATGGATGCACGCAGAGGAACTTACACTAAGTGAAATAAGACAGGCAGAGAGACAGATACTGTATGATCTTGCTTATATATGGTATCTAAAACAGTCAAATTCATTGAAGTAAATAGAATGGTGGTTTCCAGGAGCTTGGGGAGTGGGCCATGAGGAGATATTGGGCAAAAAGGGTACAGACTGTCAGTTATAACATTAATAAGTTCTGGGGATCTAATGTACAGTAAGATTACTATGATTAATAATGGTACACTTATTTGAAATTTGATAGGAGAGTAGAGTTTTAACCATTTAAAATATGATTTATTTTTATTTAAAAAGCAGAGAAACAGAGAGAGACAAGGAGAGACAGAGAGAGGGAGAAAGAGAGCACTTCTACCCATGGTTCACTCCCCAATACTCAAGACAGCTGGTGCTGAGTCAAGGTTAAAATTCAAGTTACGAATTCAATCCAGGTCTCCCACATGGGTGACAGGAACCCAATTGCCAGAGCCATCACCACTGATGTCCAGGGTCTTCATTAGCAGGAAACTGGAGTCAGAAGTAGGAGGAGGGTATCAAACCTAGGTACTCTGATATGGGATGCAGGCATCTTAATCAGCATGCTAACTGCTAGACCAAATGCTTATCCCAGGAGAGTAGATTTTAAGTGCCCTCACATGCCTTAACACACACAAATGCTATATTTTCATGAAGCTTTCCTTGATTTTCTTATTTGTCTTGGCACTACCCATCTCCCTTCAATATTTATTTTATCCATACCAATAATCATTGATGTACTGTATCTTTTATACTTTTTAGTTTTGTTATATATCTATATATA